AGGGGTGAAGGGTTAAAGAAGGTACAAATTAGTAGTTGATCTATGGTCATGGGGATGGGGAGCACAGCATAGGGAATGCAGTTAGCACTAATGTAATGGCTAGATAGAGAGCCAGAGGAGAGAAAGAGCAACTGTATAAATGTCTAACCAGTGTACTGAAATCATTTCTTCAATAAATAAAATAAAATAAAAATAAAATAAAAATAAAATGAGAGAAAGAGACCAAATCCTATTCTGACATAGAAGTATTTTGTTATCCCAGATTTAGATAAAAGTAATAGAGAATAATAAATAGATTGAGAATACAGGTTCTGAAACAAGGAATACACAACACAATCACCATGAGAATTTAGATGAAAAACAACTACATCCTTATTTCCTCCCACCCCAAGATTCTGGCATGCCTCCCCTCAGGAGTGGACTAGACGCTCTAGAAAGGCACATTGGTTGGAAAAAATTCCCTTAGTAATTCTGATGCCCTCCTTATCCCCCACTGAGAACTACTCATCTATTCTGGAAGTTTTCTTCTCCCTAGAAATTTGAATAATTTACTCCCTGACTTCCTCAGGTCTCCCCTCGAATGTTACCTTATCAAAGAGACCTCCCCAATACAAGACAGCACGCACTTGCCCCACCTCTATCCATATTTATGCTTTATTTTTCTTCACAGTACTGAACACTATCTGACATATTATTATTTTTTTGTTTATCTGTCTTCTTTAAGTGCTCAAAAAATGTTTGTTGAATGAACAAAGAATAAAAAAAAAGTACAAACCAAATCCTGGATAAACATATACAGAGAGTATTCATGAATTAATGGATGACTAATCCATTATTTATGATCAAAGAGGGTTCAGGAATGTTTAGATTACATTCTTTATTTTTGTAAATGCCATTTATAAAGTCAAAATTCATTCTCTTCTACCAAAAAAAAAGGGAGGAGAGTTGGGTAGATCACTGGTTCGATGGTTTTATTTTAAAGCAGTCCTGTCCAACAGAACTTTCTGAGATGACAAAAACGTTTTATATCTGTTATCCAATACAACAGCTGCTAGCCATGTATGGCTATTGAGCCCTTGAAATGTGGCTAGTGTGATTAAGGAACCAAATTTTAAATTTTATTTAATTTTAAATAATTTAAGTTTAAATAGTCACATGAGACTAGTGAATACTGTATTGGACAGCACAGTTCCAGAGTGAGAGAGGCAGAGGTATGATTTAAAAAATGAGAACGATTGTGTTGGTCTCTGCCTCAGGGAACTCCCTACCTTAGACTGGCTTTGAGGGCAAGCCTTTTGTACGCTCCACCTTGGTGTGCTATGATAATAATAACAATAATGTTTACAATAATAGCTAATACTTATGTAGCTTTTGCTATATGGCAGGTACTCTCTTAAGCACTTCACATATATTATTCATACTATTATTATCATCCCAATTTTGCAGATGAGGCCTAGAGAGATTCCACAGCTTGTCCAAGGTCACCGAGTTCACAGGTGGTAAAGCCACAGTTTGATCCAAAGCAGTCTGGATCTAGGTAGGTGCTCAAAACTTTTGTTCAACTGACTGGAAAGCAGGATTTTTGGAAGGGAGGAAGGAATAGAAAATAGAGAATGAAGATGGTGGGTATTAGAGAGGGAGATGTGAAAGGGAAATATGAAGATACAGGAGGAAAGGGCAAAGCAGTAGGCGAAAGATCCCACCTGAGAGTGGAATGAAAACAGGCTATCTTTGATAGAACAGTCCTACCTGAGAGAGCTGTAAGGAACACTAAGCCTGCTGTTCCATGAGCAAATCTTCTCAACCACAGCAGTTGACGAGTTTCAGGCAACTAAATGAGAAGAAAATCACTCAGATTAACTGTACTGCAGGAACTACGGAGGCAGAGAATATCTCCAAGGCCAAACCCAAGTGACAATGAGGTCATAGCTCTCTGACCCCTAGACTAGGTTAGGTACTCCCAGAAGATATTCTGTTCTGATTTTCATCATATTTTATAAAATTTATAAATTTTACTATGTCTTCTCTGCTATCTTGTAAGTTCTGTAATAGCAGGAATTCTGTTTTATTTACTACAATAATTCTAGCCCAGGGCTTGGCATGTAGGTACTTCGCATATATCTGTTCAATAACTGAATGATTTGCATTGTTCAGGGCAAAAAAGCTTCACCAGGTTGAAATGATGTGGCTGAAGATATAAGACTGGATTTTCATCTTCTGTGTGATACTTACTGTTCACCAAATATAGTCAGAATCAAAACTGCATAAAATGCCTAGAACAGAGATTCTTATATTTAGTGTTTTTGGGAAAGTCAAAATTTGTTTTCCTTTTTACTATAGCCAACTTCTGGTATTAATCAGTGAATCAGTAAATATGTATTAAGAATTTTATAAACAGGTAATCATGAAGATACAAAGGAGTTAAGTCAGAGTGCTACCCTCAAATGATTTACTATCCAGTACTCGAAGAGTTAGGTATCATTATTAAGATTTCGTAGGACAGTACATCAGTGCTGTCAAATAGAACATTTTTATCATCACAGAAATGTGATGTGCTGCCCAATAAGTAGCTAATGAGGGCTTGAAACAAACCTAGAGCAACTGAAAATTTTTTAAAAAGTTAATTTTACTTAAAGTTTAATAACAAGTTTGTTTAAAGTTAATTTTATTTAATTTTAATTAAAATTTAAATTGCCACATGGAGCTAATTAGCTACTGTGTTAGACAGCATAGTCCAACTATATGTTTGATTATCATCTCAAATCCCTTCTGTAATTAGTGGAATATAAATAAACGTTTAAAAGAGAAACACTATTAACTGATAATTAATAGATCACTGGTTACCTCTAAGAGTATCATTTCATTATAGAGTGTTTAGGAGAGTGTAGGTATATGTGTGTTTAGGTGAATGTGTAGGTGTGTATTTAGAATGGTGGGTGGGAAAACCAGATGACAAGAACGATAAAGAAAGAATGGGTTGTTAGTATACATAGCTATAGATATAGGCAATTCTTTTTAGAAGTCTGGCTTTGAAAGTCAAGAGAACAGGAATTATTCAGATGTGCATTGTCTACTATACCAATATTTCAACTCCACCTAGCTTCCCTATTCTTACTGGGACCCAGGCACTGGCACTTATCAGATAGTTCTACTTAAAAGTCCTATTGTCATCTCAAACTTCATTCTATGAACAGGTTAAAATAATACTCATTAAAAGAAAAAAAAAAAAAAAAAACTAGATAAAACCTGAATCAGCATACAGAGAAAATACTTTAAGATCACATAAGTTTACTATATTGTTCGACTTGATGAATGGTGGGTCCCCATCTCAACAAACAACCCGAAGGGCTCTCGTGCACCAACGCAGCACCAGAGACCGCTGTCTTCGGGCCTTCCTCACCTCACCCTCCAACATCTCTCTGGGAGTCAGAAGTAGAGTGGATGGGGTATCTCTTGTTGGCACTCCTCCCCACTTTTCCTAAAATCTGTGTTTTCGCCTTTCCCAACAGGCAATGCTGACAAAATATTCAGCTCCTATACCAATTCTCTTTCGAATGAGCTGCTCTAGCTCAAACGAATAACTGCACATTTTACTTTGTGGTCTCAAAGCTACCCAGAGTCCCAAAGTTCAGTGTTCCTCTTTGGTTATATCTTGTTTCTGGTAAATTGGTAGAAGTCACTAAGGGAATGTGTGAGCTCTGACTTAAAACTTCCCATTAGATCCAGAATTTCCATTCCTCTGAAGCTGTCAGCATCTGTGCAGATGTGGTGATAACACAGAATGACTTTTACCTTGTGCTGAGGAAGCAGCAGTGAGAGTGAGGTCCATAAGCTGGCACAATAAAGAACAAGGGCTGATCCCAGGTGGGCAGCGAGTCGGTACTGACTGACCCGAGGGATGTCATGGGAATCCGGTTTTTCTTCTAATCCACTTTTCACCATGTACCATCCCAACAGACCCTAGAACCAAAAAGAGGCAAATAAAACAAGGTTAAAACTAACTATTCCACTTTACTCTCTGAGAAAGAGAGTTATCAATTATCAGGGCACTCCCTACCCGATGCCTCCTTTCCACTCCTTCCCAAAATTCCAGTATCTCAGGAATCGTGACCTACCCGTATTTCCATATACAGCACCATAAAGATTTAACCACCGATTAGGTTAACATTTTATTGACATGCGTCAAATAAAGAAAAGCACACAAAAACATGTCTGTGGGCAAAACCTTATACATACTTGATATGCTCTAACTTTATGTAAACCAGTGAAATATAAGAATACAAAGAGTTGTTTTTACAAAAACCAGATTGAATGTTTTGGAAAAGCTTGACAAAGATAACTGCTTAAAAACAACTCGTGTGGAGTTAGGTGGGAATAAACAATTATAATAGTTTCATGGGGGAAAACCATAAAAATCTGTAAAGCTTTGCAGTCAGATTGCTTTGCAAGTACCTAAGTTCTCTTTAAGGAAAATGAAACAGCATAATAGTTTATGAGGCTGCAACATAATAGTTTATGAGACGTGAAGCTGAATTCCAATCAGAAGACTCGAAGAATAGGCCTTAGCTCTTTGTTAAAAAAAAAATGAGGTTATGAAAGTACACATTTAAGTTTAAAAGTTTAAGGTATGTATAATTATTCTATGATTCTCCGCTTTAAGTGACTTTTTCAATTAACCTAAACAACTGTCAGTTCTAATCATATCAGGTAAAATACAGCCCTTTCGCTCCCACACTCCCAAGCCAATAGAATCATGTCAAAAGGTAGGATTCTCCCACCTCTCCTAAATATATACTCTTCAAGAAATTTTTGGAGGCATTTCTTTCTCCCTTCATGATTACCCTGGGTGTTCTAATTATCTAGATTTCATCTGCAGAGGACATTGGAAGATAAAGAAGAATATAATGTGATTTGCCAGCTTTCTTCTTTCCATAACCCTATTTGCCATCTTCAAATTCTGCCTCCCTGAGAGTCTGTCTTTAGTGGGCAGCGAGACGGTATTATAATAGTTTTGTGGGGGAAAACTATAAAAATCTGTAAAGCTTTGGTTTACAGAGGTTTTTTTTTTCATTCTAAAACAAACTTCATTTTCTTTCACTTCCTCAACCCTAGTTTCTATTAGACTTTTATTAATGTCTAACTCTTTATTATCGGTTCCTATTGCCTCTATTTCTTCTCTTCCACCTCCTTCCTCAATTCCGTCTAATTGGTTCAGATGCTCACCACTTCTATGTTAAATTAACAATGCACTACCTTCTGATCAAATTTTGATATTTCTCTGATGCTCTGATAGTCTACCTTAGGGTCTGCTTCCCTTGACCCAAATACTCATGTGTCTTCCTTAATATTTTCTTCCTTGCATCTCAGCTTCACCTAATTCCTTAACTGTGAGTCTTTCAAAGCTTTTTTTCTTAAGAGTTCAACTTATATGTGATTTAATTGCCACTTATACAGTACTTGAATATCTCTCAGCTATATCTGTATTTTAAGATCCCTCATCCCACAAAATGTTTCTCTTTTGGAATACTCCTATTTGCTTCTGTAGCCATTCTAGCATAGGGATCCCACTTCCCCGTAGAGTAGGCAAGTTAGAAAAAGGAAAATGAGAACCCAGGAGAAAAGCCATGGTGGGAAAGAAACTCTAATTTTTGTGGCACAAAAATATATTTACTGAATGCTTACTGATTCCAGGCACTATACCAAGTACTTTATATGTATGATCTCATTTAATATTTATGCAATCTAAACAGTAGGCATTCTTTTTATCCCTATTTACAGGAAAGAAAAGCATAGCCTACAGAAATTAGAACTTGCCCTACTAAGTGGCAGAGCTGGGTCTAGAAGCTAGGCACATGACACCAAAATCCATGCTCTCACCTACTCTGCTATAAGATTACTTCTTGAAAAACAATGCCAACCAGGAAGCTCTAGGAAGCTCAGCTCTGGTTTCCTCAAACTGGAATAAATCTCACCTGAAAGCAGACCAAACCACAGAGGGCAAGAACACGTCCTTTCATGCCACGACTGAGCCAGCCCTTTCTCCAAAAGTAGGCAGCAGGTAGAATGTATGCAAGTCCTACGAGGCGACCCCACATTCGGTGTGAGTACTCCATGTACCAGATGAACTTGAATTCTGCCAACGTCATATCATGATTCAAGCTGGGTAAAAAGAGAAGTCAAAAAATAAAGAGGAAACATCCACCTGATTTTTATTTCCCAATGGAATGCAGGTCTGCCCGTTCTTCATCAGTGACCTCAGTATTGCTTTGGAACTGGAGGCTTAGAGTAGGGGGCTCACTAAACATAACTGAGCCAAATATCAAGAAACAATGGAATCTAACCATTCTGAAATATTTAAATAAACAACAGATCAAGTGGACCTTGTGGGATATTTACCTGATTTTCTATAATGCTTACATTTTAAATTCTGGAAATTGCTGGTATTTTTGGAATTCTGCTTCCCATTCCTCTTGGCTCGTAGGTGGCTTCATCTCTTTTATTAAATGCCAATCTACCATTGAGAGGCCAGACTCTGTCAACCTTAGGATAGGAAAGAAATTTGAGTATGTGTGTGTTGTGCAATGCTGGACTACTCACAAATGATTTACACCAACAAGCGGATCTGAACTTAACCCTTTTAAAGGTAAACACATCATTTCATTGTTTCCTTACACCTTCCTCTCTTCTTACTGATTAGAATTTTAACAGAAACAGCAAAATCAACCCTTAGACCAAAGAAATTTTCCCTAAATGCATAACTAACTTTAGAGAGAAAAAAGATTTGATGTAGGTATAAAACAGTTTAGGTTTTTGAGTGAATTTAAAGACAATAAAACTCAAATTCATCAGATTCCCATAACAGCCTATATAACACATAAGGTTTTTTGAAATAAGGGCACAGGGAATGTGCAGAGAATTTGAGAACACATACTTTATTAAAACCACAAAGTATTTTCAATAACAGGATTTAGGGTTCTTAGAGTAAAAGGCTGATTTTAGGCCTGAGGCAGGAAATATACAAGCGCCTGAACATCTTATTATCCACAAAGCAAGGAATCAAAGGAATTGAAACAACTCGGAAGCCAATTTGAAGAGGTTCCCATTGACTAAAGATGGGACAATTTGAGTAAATCATCATCACTGCAATGGATTGATTAAACCTATGAGTTCATAGCGATACTTAAGGACTCAAACATTGTATTGGTTACATTTGAAGGATGCTTGGGAACCAATTTACATTTTGAAAATTGGTAAAGGAAAAGAATCAAGTATTTATCCTGCCTTTCCTATACACACTATACCTTAGGATAACCAAATTATTGATAAAGAAATGTTTCTCTTTAGAGTTGAGCTAGTAAAATATTATAATTTTGCAACTAGAATGAAATGTGGATCTAGGCAATGATCATCAGTGGCTGTTGACATCTCTAATAGATACCAGGTATTTATGAATATTATAATCACCTATGAAGTATTTTGCCCCCTGCTCTCAACCTGAACCTGATCAAGCAATAACCAGTTTACAGGAAATACAGGGGACATATTAAACATCATCACAAGTATGCAATCAGCAAAATCCAGACTGTGGGACACTCCATGGGACAAATGATTTGGGTTTCTTCGACAACAAAACTGCAAATGGAGGTGTGGGGGGAAGAATCTAAATCTATAAAATATCTTTATAGGTTTAAAGAGAACTAAGGCATATAAACCAATTGCAATATATGGAACTTATCTGGGTTTAATTCAAACTGCACAAAAATTCTTGAGATAAATTTGATCTCTTTTTGTAGGGGGAAAATATACATAAACAATGCATAGCTAACAGTTAAGAACCTAAACCAGTCTTCGTGAGGGTTTCCTACTAAAACCCTAAACTGTTCTATGGCAAGGCAAGCCATCAGACATATTCCCTCGTTAGGCCTCAGTTTCTGCATACGTAAAATGAAGGAGCTAGACTAGATGATTCTTAGGGCCTTTCCCCGCTTGGTCATCCTGTGCCTCTACTGATGATCCAAACAGCTGACTTGCTATGAGCAAATTACTTACCTAGTTACTCCACCAAGAATAACAGCTCCAGCCACTGTTCCACTGCAGACCAGGAGCCATCGGCCCACCATCTGCTCAGCAGCCTTTGAGGGAAGGGACACTGTACCCCTTCCAGACTGCAAAGCTACTTCAGAGATGGTGCTGTATTGCCCTGGCCTCCAGGGGCGCTTGATCCCACAGCTGCAACCACACTAAGGATGAAAACAAAATTTACAACGGGAGAAAATAGGGAAAATCCTCACTACACCACTATTCACTTAATCCCACTCTGGAGCTGAGTACCCTGTATGGCACATCTCCGGTGCTGCCCTGGTAAATCATCATCTCTTAACTCGATTACTTAATCTACCTTCAAACTGGTTTTCCTGCCTTCAGTCTTGGCCTCTAATCCATCCCAAATCTACATTATCTCTTCTGGTCTCTGCATACTTCTCACAGACTTAAATCTCGACCTATATGTGGATTATTTTCTTTCCCCTACAGATCTTTAAACATGACTTCTGCCTAGGACCACTACTTGTTCCCTTATTGATAAATACAGGCATACTTCATTTTAGTGCCCTTCACGGATACTGAGTACTTTATAAATTGAAGTTTTGTGGCAACCCTGTGTAAAGCAAATAAAAAACTTTCTGGAAAGGATTATCATTCTAGATGCCATTAAGAACACTCATGATTCATAGGAAGAGATCGAAATATCAACATTACGGGGAGTTTGGAAGAAGTTGATTTCAACTCTCATGGATGACTTTGAGGGGTTCAAGACTTCAATGGAGGAAGTAACTGCAGATGTGGTAAAAATAGCAAGAAAACTAGAATCAGAAGTGATGCCTGAAGATGTGGCTGAATTGCTGCAATCTCATGATAAAACTTTAATAAATAAGGAGTTGATTCTTATGAACAAAGAAAGTGGGGTCTTAACATGAAGTCTACTCCTGGCGAAGCTGTGAAGATTGTTGAAATGACAACAAATGATTTAGAATATTACATAAACTTAGTTGATAAAGCAGCAGCAGGGTTCGAGTGGATTAACTCCAATTTTGAAAGTTATATTGTGGGTAAAATGCTATCAAACAGCAGCACACACTCCAGAGAAATCATTTGTGAAAGGAAGTCAATCAATGTAGCAAACTTCATTCTTGCCTTATTTTAATAAACTGCCACAACTACCCCAACCTTCAGCAACAACCACTCTGGAGAGTCAGCAGCCATCAATACTGAGGCAAGACCTTCCACTAGCAAAAAGATTACAACTTGCAGAAGACTCAGATGATGGTTAGCATTTTTTAGCGATAAAATATTTTTTAATTATGTACAGTTTTTCTTAGACATAATGCTATTGCAAAGTTATTAGGCTACAGTATAGTGGAAACACATCTTTTATATGCACTGGGAAACCAAAAAATTTTGTGACTCGTTTTATTGCAGTATTTGTTTTATTGCCATGGTCTGGAACAGAACTTGTACTATCTCTAAGGTATGTCTGTAGTACCTACTGCAGATCTCAGCTTAGATGTCACCTCCTCTGGGAAGTATACCTACACTATCCCAGGTCTGCAACAGGTCACTCTGAGAGCACACTGTACCTTTCCTATGGCCCTTAACATACTGTAATGTAGCTTTAAGTTCATTTGTCTCCAGCTCCCACTAAGCTATGAGCTGTAGGACAATAGTATCTGTCAGAGTGGTTCTTTGCTTCCAGCTCCCTGTTTGGAATACAGTTCCCTTACATAACAAGACCTTAATAATGATTTGAGAAATGAATTGTAAATAAACAAGTGTGGCTTCCTCCAGGGCAGGAGCCTTTCAGTATTTTGCTTGTTTCTCAGTTCCTAAATAATAATAATCACTCAATACAGTAATTACTACTCAACACACTAATTATTAGGTAAGTGGATACACGCCCTCTTCTGACTCCAACCTTTAGTCCAAAGACCCCCTATTTGGTTTCCTGCTTCTAATTAATTAACTTTAGACAACTTAAATTAAGCCTCAATTTCCTTCTTTGAAGGGGGTTATACACCATAACCTGACTACCTGGGGGCTTTTAGCAAAAACCAAATACATGGGTAAAATTTACTGAACCTTTGCGATGTACTAAGTGCTTGATGTATATTTAACTTATCCTCCCAGCAATCTCATGAACTAAGTATTGTCGTTATGCCCATTTTTTACAGATGGGGAAACTGAGGCACAGAAAAGTAACCTAACTTGGTTAATATCACACAGCCGTTAAACGGTAGGTTCCGATCAGAAGTCAGGGGCTCTGGATATAAGGAAGTGCGTTCTGAACTATAAAGAGCTACGGGAACGTGATGTGGGATTACAATTTTTCTCCAGGCTCTTTCCCCCCATGCCCGCTTCCGCGACTCAAGCGTCCGCTGCGGCGCGGTACCTGTGTTCTAGGCGTCGCCCTAGGAACCAGGAGCCGGACACACGGTCTCCCCATCAAGGCCTGCAAGGGCGGAAATAGCACTCGCTGCATACTGAAGTCAAGGCGCCACCACCACCTCCACGCCCAGGCTCTTAGCTGTCTCCTTCCTCCGGCACCAAAGAAGAGGCACTTCCGGGTTACGCAGCGTGAGCCCCTCCTCCTCAGACGGCGGGGGCGAGCAGTGACTGCGCCTGCGCTAGCGACTCGGCCTTGCCAGCATTGCTGGGGCGTGGACATCGGGAACGCGCAGGAGCGTGCGCAGGGGTGAGGACGCTGTTTTCGGTCGCGCGCGGCGGAATTCGGATTCTGCGTGGAAACCGAAGACGCGCGAGGGAGGAACGCGTGGAGCATGAAGAGGCAGAGGGCATCCTCCGAACGGAAACGGGCGCGAATACCATCCCGGAAGGCCGGTGCGGAAGGGGGAGGAGAGGGGGCGGTCGGCCGACCTCACTCCCAGGGGCGGACTGGCAGGGATTTTGGCCCGTGGATTAATTGCAATTCCCCCTCCCCCGACCTCCTTTCTGTGGCACGGTCTGTCATTCCAGCTTTAAAACTTGTGCAGACGGGGGGCCTGAGAACCAGATGTGTGGGTTCGAATCCCGGCGCCACCACGTATCGTCGTGCGACCGTGTTCAACTTGATTAACAAGTGAGGATCCCAGTACCGTCCTCATATCCCCACCCTCTCCTAGCCAAGGCTCTTTTTTGCGTGAGGCAAATGGCACCCCTTAGCATTGTCCAGTTCGGTTGACCTCTGGCAGCTGGGTGGCTATCAGGAAACTCATGAAATTAATGCATCCCTGTTGGTTAACAGCATACAGTGGCACTTAACTCTTTCACAGTTTGAGACTGGTCGTATAATTTTAAATAAATGAGGCAGTTGTAGTTTAATGTGAGCATACGATAGAATTTGTTTTTCAAATTAAAAATTTTTTTTTAAAAAATGATAAAAGCAATATTGGGTAGAAAACATCAAGTAATGTAGAAAAGTAAAAAGAGTAAAAGTCATTCCAAATCTCAGCTTCTAGTTGTAATTATTATCACAACGTGAACATTCTTTCAGGTATTATTGCATGAAATATACGTTCAGTATTCTTAAAAGAAAATTATGTACTTACAGAAAAAAAAACTTTTTGTCATACTTTTTAGTGTAAATACATGACTGTTTATTAATTTGTAATTATTTGGCCTTTAGTAAATCTTTGCCTGTTGTGTATAACGGTCAGCAGTGCTTGGCGTCGGTGACTCCTCACATAAAAACCTTACTTAGGAACTTTAGGTCAGGTAAGAGTGATCAGACACTTATCTACATAAATAATAATAAGACAAAATAATTAGTGTCCTGAAGAGATACAATTAGTGTTTTAAAGAGGAACATACAACTTGTAAAGAGTTATATGAGTTCGAAAAAGGTAGATTCAGTTTCCTGCTTCGGGAGAGAGGAAATATGGAACTATGATTTGATGTGAGTCTTGGAAGAGTTTAGCATTCAGAAATGGAGCTGGGAGGACTTTGTGGATTGAGGAGATGGTATAAGCAAGAACAGGGATGGAGATTAGGGAGAACTAGAGGCATATAGAGAAAATAATGTGTAGTTAATAAATGAAAGTAATATTCTGTATAAACTTACCTAGTATCCACTTTACATGAGTTATCTCTTTATCCTCACTAGTCTTAGGTAGATACTAAAACCTACAGTGTTTTTTAGAAAACTTTAGCTAAGTAACTTGTCTAGAATCACACAAGTGGTGGGGCCAGAATTTTAAGTCCATCCCTGCTCTTGAACATATATTCCTTATAAAGAAGTTTAAGCATATTTTTCAGTTAATGAGAAGCATCAAAAGAATCCTGACTTGAATGTGAGGATGAGGTCTGTGTTTTACGAAGATTACCTTGACATTCAGTGTATATTTTTCTTAGTATAATTTCTTATACATATGTCTGTTTACTTTCTTCACAGTCTAGACATCAATTTAATAATTAATATGGTATTTTATTGCACTCCTGGGCCCTAGTGTACTCTTCTACTTCCCTGTTATTGGACATTTAGATTTTGACAGCAAACTGTAAAATGTTCATGGTAGATTAGTCTGAATGGATAGGACCATCATGAAATTGCCTTCTTTTTCATGCATTTTAGGAGCAGCAAATGGATTTCTCATGGAAGTGTGTGTTGATTCAGTGGAATCAGCTATAAATGCAGAAAGAGGAGGTAAGAGAAATTAGAAAATGAATAACAGTCGACAGTCTTTTTAAGAGTCTGAAAATGAATCCTGTGAACTGACCTTGGGAGCCTTTGTTAGCTGGAAGGATCCTACTAATCCTTTTGAGAACAACCAACCAACTGTAAAACCCTACTGATAAATTATAATCTTCTAGTCTTATTCCCCTAGTAAGTCACATTTTGAGTCAAGTGTCCACTATAGGGCTTACTCACCAACTTCAGTTTTTATTGAATTTAGCAAAGATTTAAATTTTTTAAACCATTAATTTAAAGATGATTGTAGAGTTTTGTTGCCATTTTCATCATTAGGACTTCTATCATTATTTTTTCTTTTTTGAACATTGTTTTTACCTCAAGGTTTCTTTTGCACTCTAAACCTGTGGGCCATAGTTTGCTGAGCCCTGATATATATTCTTGCCTTCTCTCCCCTATCCCCAGATTATTTTAAAGCGAATCTCAGACATCATATCATTTCATCCTCAAATATTTCAGTATGTATCTCTAAAAGGACTCTTTTTTAAGAAAATAATAATAATAACCACAATACCACAATATCTTAAAAAATAATTTCTTAATAGCATCAAAAAATTCAGTTATTTTTCACATTTCTCCTATAAGCTCCTACTGTTTTGTTTTATGGTTCTTTGAACCAAAGTCCAAACATTTCATCTGTTTGATATGTCTTTTTAAGTGTGTTTACATCTACATTTCCCCGTCTTTTTTTCTTTTTCTTTCTTTCCTTGTAGTTTATTCAAGAAATTGTGATTTTCATCTTTTAGAGTTTTCTACAGTCTCAGTTTTGCTCTTTGTATATGTAGTGTCATTTATTTCCTGTATTTCCTGTAAAGTTGTAGTTAACCCAAAAGTTTAATAAGATTCAGATTTAAGTCTTTTATAAGACTACTTTTTAGATGACGTTGTACTCCCTGTTGCATCACATTAAGAGGATAATATCTTATTTTTTTCTGTTTTTGTGATGTTAGGATTGATCAGTGGATTCAGATATGGTCAGCTTAATCCATCCTTTTAAAGGTTTTCTGTTAGCTTTCACCTAATAATTTTAGCAATGCATATTTTAGTAGGGTTTGCAAAATGGTACTATATTAAGTCTAATATTTATTTTACATTTATTAGCAATATGCTTCTATAAAGCAGAATTTTCTCTCAGCAGCTGTTTGGTTATACTGAGGTTCAGTTTGTACAAGAAAGCCAGGATAAATACTTGCTGCTTTTCCCTTATTCACTGATTTTGGAGATAATAGGTTTGTTTTCTATTCTCTAATGAATTATTTTATCATTTGAACCTGATTTAGATATAGTTGATGTGTTTTAATACACTATAGTTATTCTTACTGATGTTCAGAATGTCCTATCTGGCTGGTAGGAACCTTTTCAAGCTGGTTCCTGAGACCTTTTGACATGGCCCCATGGTTTGATCTTTTGCTTTCAGTGTTTTCTTATTCTTGAAAATATCCCGAGTTAAGCTATTCAAAGTAACTTGTGCTTTTTTAAAGCTTAGAATAATAAAGACTCTCTTTCTTATCAATGAAGAATCAGCATTCCACTATGTACAATGCAGAAACATTTATTCTAAGGCATTTCCCTGTACATGTAGAGGCAACCCTATAATATCAAATTTTAAAGAGACCTAACTTAACTTGAATTATCTCTTAAAGTGGACTATCATTAACACAATGTGGGTTGCAGAATATAATTGTGATTCAAAATAGATGTTCTAGTTTTATAGTTTGATTTCTCTCAGTTTCTAAGACTTTTATACATTTGGGGAAAATGTGAAATTTGCATTTAATATGAGTTTATTTTGGCCAATAATTTTTGAGCAATGCTTGTAAATTTTTCCCTTAATTTCTAAAATTTATTGTGCTGAAAAATGTTTTTGTTTTTGTTTTTTTTTAAATCATAGGTGCTGATCGGATTGAATTATGTTCTAGTCTGTTGGAAGGAGGAACCACACCAAGCATGGGTTAGTGTCCAGTTTTTAGATTGCCTGGAGACAATTTATGATCTCTTTCATTGAATTCTTTACAATGTTACTACATGTTCACTATGCTGTGGATATTGTATCAGTTAGAAATGCTTATGATTGTAAATAAAGTTGTCTATCAAAGATGTGATCAAATAGATGTTTTTTTCCTCAGCTATCAAAAAGTTGAAAGATAGGTAGTTGCTGTTAATATTGGTTCAGTTGCTATGCAGGGACCAGGGTATTTTTATCTTTTGCTTTTGGCATCCTCTGTTTTATTGACTTTGGTCTTCATTTTTCCCTTCCTGGTTGTTGTGCTATTGTCATATGTTTTACTTCTACATATGTTAAAAACTCAACACTACATTGTTGTTACTATTATTTTTTTTACAGCAGCATTTTATTTGCACATGTGTATTACATCCCTAGAAAAAGAATCGCAGGATTTTCCCTCCCATGTGTTTTTAACTTGCTTCTTCATGGTCCATGATGTCCACTGAGATTGTCACTACAGTGAAACCAGATTAACAGAATGGAAGCAGGTTATTCTGTCATTTTTCTAGATGTTTGAGCTGCACATCAAATCTGGAGCTGATCACTTCATACTTGTTTTACCCACCCATGAGGTTCACGACAATTTTTGCTCTGTAATTTTTGTTTAAAGTGTCAGTTACCTTTTTTCCCAAGTTAAATGCATTTTGTTTAAAAAGTTTATTCATAAAATTGATTAATTCAAGCTTCAGAGCACCTAATAAAAACTGCATGGCAGTGAAAATGAAGTACACAGTGGCTCAGATAAAGGTTGTCCTCATACAGATGTTCCTTTTAGCTATAAAGTTGGATAGATGAATTTATGTTTTTAAAGACTTACTAAGCCTGTGTTAGCTGATTCTTCCCTGGCAGTAATTAAAACCTTCTGCTACTGCCATAGCTACTGCTGCTGCTGGAACCACCATAGCCACCTTGGTTTCGTGGTTTGGCAAAACGTTGGCCTCTACCACCAAGCCAGAGCTTCTGCCTCCAAAGTTTCCTCCTCTCATGGGTCAAGAATTTGAAGAGTGATTATTGTAATTGCCAAAATCATTGTAGCTTCCGCCACTTCCAAAATTGCTTCCACCGTTACCACATCCATCATAGCCATCCCCAGTACGACCATATTTCCTCTACCACCACAGCTGCCACCAAAACCACCTCCACGACCACCACTGAAGTTTCTAGAACCACTTTGACCTCTTTAGCTGAATGAAACATGAGCCATCTCTTGCTTAGATAGGGCTTTACTTCGCAGTTGTGGCCATCCACAGTATGGCATTTCAGAATGACAGTCTTATCTACAGAGTCATGATCATCAAAGGTTACAAAAGCAGAGCCTCTCTTCTTGCCACTGCAGTGGTCAGTCATTTTAATCACTTCAGTTTTCCCATACTGTTCGAAATAATCTCTTAGGTAATTCTTCATTGTCTTTAATTCCACCAACAAAAATATTTTTCTCAGTTGAGTGGCACCATATCTTTGAGAATCTTCTCTTGAAACAGCCCTCTTTGGTTTCACAACTCTTCCATCCATCTTGTGTGGCCTTGCATTCATGGCCTCGTCCACCTCCACAGTGGCATACGTGACAAACCCAGAGCCTCTGGAATACTTGGTGTTTGGATTTCTCATCACCGCATAGTCTGTGAGTGTTCCCCATTGCTTATAATGGCTCCTCAGACTCTTACTAGTTGTTTCAAATCTCAAACTTTTGATAAAGAGCTTCCACGGCTGTTTGGGTTCTTTGGGAGACTCTGACTTAGATGTGACTGTGGGAGGGGAGACTTATTAAGCTTACTTGGCGGTGTCCACTGACAACAGTGATCTAACATGTTATCTCAAGAGTCAATTATCTTTTAAAGAGATTTAAATAATAAGAAAACAATATTTACCCACATATAGTTACTATTTCTGGTGCTCTTAATTCCTTTGTGGAGATCTATATTTCCATCTGGTTTCATTTTTCTTTTGCCTGAAGTAATTCTTTTAACATTGTTTGTAGTACAATGCTGATGATGAATTCTTTCAGCTTTTGTATGTCTGAAAACATCTTTCCCCATATTTGAAAGATATTTTTGCTGAGTGTAGAATTCTAGGTTGACGGTTTTTTCTTTCAGTCATCTTACTTGTATTGTTTCTGACAAGAAATCTGTTGTCATCCATACCTATGTTCTTTTCTGTGTAACGTGTCTCTGGTTGCTATTAAGATTTATTTCTTTATTCTTAGTTTTAGGCAATTTGATTATGATATACCTGAGTGTAGTTTTCTTCATGTTTCTTAGAATTGGACATTTATACTTTTTATCATATTTTATCATATTCAGCATTCAGTGTCCTCTACTCCCTCTTTCAGAAACTCCAGTTATATTCTCAATTTAGTATTTGAATATATTTGTTCTACAATTCACTGATGAATTGCTGTTTTAAAAAATCTCATTTTTCACTTTCATTATGTATAGATTGTATCACTTTGTTTTCAAATTCACTAAACTTTTCTCTGCAATGTCTAATTGCTGTTATCCCTGCCTAGTTCATTTTTTATCTCACACATTGTAGGTTTCATCTCTAGAAGTTTGAGTGTGTTATATTTCCCATGTAGCTTCTTAACTTTTTTGAACATATGGAATAAAGTTATAATAGCTATTTTAATGACTTGGCTGCTAATTCTAACTTCTGTATCAGTCTAAGTTAGTTTTGTTTGATTGCTTTATTTCCTCACTATGCATCTTATTTTCCTACCTGATAATTTTTTATTGAATGCAAGACATTATGAATTGTACTTTGTTGGGTACTGGATATATTTGTATTCCTATAAATATTCTTGAGCAGTTAGTTTATATGAAAACACTTTATTCCTTTCGGGTCTAGCTTTTAAAAGTTGTTAAGCAGGTTTGGAACAGTGGTCAGTTTATAGCTAATTTATAGCTTTTACTGATATGTGACATTTGAAAGTGTAATAACCACCAGGCAAAAAGTATATAAACTTTTCGACTAAAGCATACTATCATCAACTTCAGAGTAACATATAGGAGTCAAAATGTCATATAGGGACTCCTGCTTTTGACCAACAAAGTAACAGAGACTGAATTCACCCTGCCACCTGTAATAATCAAAAAACAGACAAGATATATGAAACAATAGTTTATAAGACACTGGACATCAAGCAACAAAGGACAATGATGCCTGAAAGATGACAGATAGAAAATAAATGAGGTGAGCTCTATGATTGACCCAGATTACTACTTTAAGAGTTTTCTAGGCCAAAGCACAGGGAGGAAGAACCCAGGTGGAGCCCAGAGAAAGTTCTCTGAGTTGAGGAGACAAAGCTGAGAGTCCAGACTAGAGTTAACAGGAGAGAGTGTAAGGAAGGAGAGAGAGAGAACTCTTGAGATCTGCAGAGAACCTCTTCTAATATTCAGCTGAGTACTGATCAGGGCATGCAAGCAAGAAAACTATGCAAAGCCAGGGAAAGATCCACTGAAAAAGGTTACTAGAAATAGTGCCTATCATTCACACCAGGACAGGAATAATACCTGTTTCCACCAGCCAGACAGGAAAACTTGAAGCTTCATGGGATACTAGGTAAAGTACACAGAAGGGTCTTGCCTCCGCAGTGAGAAATAATTAGCTATAAACTGACCACTGTTCCAAACCTGCTTAACAACTTTTAAAAGCTAGACCCGAAAGGAATAAAGTGTTTTCATATAAACTAACTGCTCAAGAATATTTATAGGAATACAAATATATCCAGTACCCAACAAAGTACAATTCATAATGTCTTGCATTCAATAAAAAATTATCAGGTAGGAAAATAAGATGCATAGTGAGGAAATAAAGCAATCAAACAAAACTAACTTAGACTGATACAGAAGTTAGAATTAGCAGCCAAGTCATTACTTTTTGCCTGGTGGTTATTACACTTTCAAATGTCAGATATCAGTAAAAGGATTTTTGTTGAGTTAACCGACAAGTACTTTTAAAATGCAGTAACTTCTTTCTGTTTTCTAAATTACTCTTTTTTACCTTTGATTTTTTATTACTTCTACTGTATACACATTTTTCTTAGTGTCCGCTTTCCTTTTTGGTCCACTTTTCTCTGGTTTCTTTAGTCAACTCTTCCTTTTCTTGTATAAGTGATACATAAGAGCAAATGTAAAAGACCTATAATATTTTATTTACTTACTTGAGCTTTTAGCTCACATTTGCATTTTAATTAGTCTGTTTTCTGTTCTTATAGGTGTCCTTCAAGTAGTGAAGCAATGTGTCCAGATCCCAGTTTTTGTGATGATTCGGCCACGCGGAGGTGATTTTTTATATTCAGATCGTGAAGTTGAGGTGATGAAGGCTGACATTCATCTTGCCAAACTTTATGGTGCTGATGGTTTGGTATTTGGGGCATTGACTGAAGATGGACACATTGACAAAGAGCTGTGCATGTCCCTTGTGGGTAAGAATTTATATCTGAGACCAAAAAACCTCTGATGATTGCATTTAATATTCGCAATATAGAAAAATGCAGTCACAAAACTGACTTTTCAGTCACACCTGCAGACACTTATACTAACCTGTTTTAAACAATAGTCATTTAAATGTTTGGGCTGCAGCTATGTGTGGCATAGCCTTCCTGACTCTCCTTAGTTGCTATAGATCAGGTTCCACTACTGTTTCTGTTGGGTTTAAGGGATGTTTGTCTTGACTCCTTTAATAACTGCACCAAAATCCACAAAAGCTATTGGTGAGGATGGGGGGATGTGAAGAGGACAGAAGCAGACTATATATATTACTAGGCCAAAGTATTTCTTGAAGATTTTCAGAGGAATGAGTAATAGATAATGCTGCCCATCTTATAGTTGCCAGATTATATAATTTTTATTTGGTGCCTCTAAGAAGTAAATGGCCATGTTTTAAATATAAAAATAAGAGATTAATGGAAACGTAGGACTTTCGCATTTGGAAGGCTGCCATTTTATTATTATTTTAGTTCACTGTCTTCACTTAGGAGAGGAAGGTATAAAACAGTCCCATCTAACATGGAGAATATGTATATAGTGATCAGTGATGATCTCTTCATTCATGTTATATGACTTTCTTTTTATAGCTCTTTGCCGTCCTCTGCCAGTCACTTTCCACCGAGGTGAGTCATTTCCATTTTAGAAGTGCTATTGAATGGTGTCAGTTTCCTAATTTTATCAGATGCTAACCTTTTTTTGGAACACGATTCTACAGTGTTACAGTGTTACCAGTTGGTTTCTTGGGACCAGCAGTTGCAAATTTAGAAATGTACAATTTCTAGAATATGTAAAGCCTTAGTTGTGAAAAGTTGTTAAAAGTAAATGGCGGTGGTGGTGGGATATAAAAGAGAGAGAGTAAGCATTGCCTACAAGTACACGTACTTGTCACAGCATTCTAAGCAAGAGTCCTGAGATTTATTTTTATAGATTACCTTAGGTCATATGCAATCCCCAAGAGAATAGATCACTGTAGCCAGTGAAATTAAATTTGCTACCTGGCTTAAGCTAGACAGACCATTCCTAGGGCTGGGAGTGAGGTCAGTTTTCTCAGAAGAATATAAAATTCGTGAGTAGAGAGGGAATGGACATCTGAGGAAGAATTGGTTACTATTAGGAAGGAGGAAAGAAGAAATAGATGCTAGATAGTCCATTAACAGATTTTGTTCACTATAGTACACAAAATTGCTTTATATTATTGATAGCTTATCTACATCAGAATAATTTCTAAAAAGTCTCTTGATAATTTCATATAAAAATACATTCTAACTATAAAATTCAGGTAGTTATAATTTCCATACAGTTTTGCCAGGCATTGGTAAAATGAAGGAACAAAGTCAATTTCGCCTTCAGAAGGCACTGCTATTGCACATAAAAAGAAGGAAATCTTCAGTCACATTTTTTTTTGACTTAATGATATGCTTGAAAAATTGTCGAATGTTTTTCTGACCTTTTAAGTAAGCATTCAAAATTAGGATAAGGGTGGACACTAGCACTTGCATCTATTTATATAAATTAGAGATATATCATTTATTACCTTGCCTTTTTTTTTCTCAATGGATAATACCACCAGAAAACTGTTTTCTTGGTTTGCTACATACCAATGCTTCTCATAAACTAGCAATAATTAAAAGGTGTTAGTTTGCTTAAGTCATAACCTTGAGGCTATAGCAAATAAAGTTTTTAAATATGAAAAGTATTTAAATTAGTAAACATCTATCTGAAGAAATGTAGTTTAAAGTTTGACATGTTAAATAAATCAAAAATTAAACCCATCACATTGAATATATTTTTTGTTCTTAAACTAAGAAAATCATTTCAAATTTCTATTCTTTTCCTTTGCAGTCACAAAACTGACTTTTCAGTTGTACCTGCAGACACTTATACTAACCTATTTAAGTTTATTAAACTATTCAATAAGTGTAACAAAAAATGTTTTCATGTTTTCAAGATTTTATATTGGCCTGAGTTCCACATTTTTTTTCACCCATATACTTACTGAGGTAGTATCATAGTATAATCACTGGTCAGAAGATGCTGCCACGAGGAAAGGAAAATCCTCCGTAGCAGGTTCCATACACTAACGGGTGAAAGGAAAGGGTCCAGCCCTAACCCACTATAGGCTAGAACTTCCAGATCATGTAGCAGGACCGAGAACCAAAGCAGTAGTTTTTCTTTTTGAAATTCCTAGGGCCACTTTCCTATCTGAGGAGGGGATAAGTCTCTTAGAAAGTAGGGTGGAATCAAAACTCATATAGTCTGTTGTAAACAATTGTCCTTATACTATTAGCCTTGAGTTTGTGGGATAAATAGATTAGTAGAAAGTAATAGTCAATAATAAGAATGTGAATCAAGCTTTTTCTAGAACCAATGAGTGTAATGTTTTTCCAGTTTATCTGAAGCCTTAGAGCAGTCTTTCCCCAATTCGAGTCACTTGCCTGTTACATTTACAGTTTTACCATATCTGAGTGCTACCTGTGCAAATTTATTTAATAATTTTCTTAAAACCTTAATTTATTTTACAGAGAAACTTTTATACCTAATGAAAACCAGAAACTTTTCACTTCTAATCTACATTTAAGTAAATGCATCCATTCAAATGTGTGCCATCTAAAATGATCATGCATATCACCAGTGGTATATAGATTGTGCTGGTAAACTGGCTCTTGGGGGAAAAAAGAGCCCTGATTTATAATATTTGTTGATTTCTGTGGTTTAAATACTCCCACCTTGACTGATTTCCAAGTTTCCAATGGGTTAATAATCATGCTTGCAAAATTCCTGAATATGTAACACTTGGCTTTTGCAAGCCAGTACTAGCCAAGTCAGGCACACCACCATGTATATACTACATTTTAAAAAGCACTATATTCGAGATACTTGTTCAAAATTCAAATAAATGTTATTTATTTCAGCCTTTGACATGGTTCATGATCCCATGGCAGCTCTAGAGACTCTTTTAACTTTGGGATTTGAACGAGTATTGACCAGTGGTTGGGAGGTTTCACTTCAGCACTAGAAGGGCTACCTCTAATAAAGCGACTCATAGACCAGGTATACACAGTTTCTTTCTTTTCTTCTAAAGACTCTGATATTCTGTTGTTCTGCTAGGTTGAGAAACTAAATATTACTGATTTCACGGTTACTGTATAGGAAAAGGCAAGCAGGCAGCAGTATATGTATATAATTCTTATTTCTTTCACATGAGCATTTTTAGTGACCAAGGCTCTTAAGATGAGATTATAGACAGTGCCTAAGGATCTTATCTAATTTAGATAACCAGAGCAAATTTTACCTTTCCTCTGCCATCAGCATTGCATAGTTTTAAGCAACATCTCACTGACAGACTATGTATACTCAGGGATCCCATATAAAATTTGAGATAATTATCATTTGGAGGTGAATTCTAAAACTAAAACTATATTCTTCTCGCATTTCTCCCTATCTGTCAAGATAGGAGAAATATATTTTTCTCTATGCCCTGGCAAGTTAGCATCATTTGTAGAGCAGTTGGAAGATGGCTTTGTAATTGTGGTGTCTGTTTTTCTGACACCAGTGTGGAGGCATTCTAAGATGGTGAGTATGGATTTTGAGTTGAGAGTTCTGGATTTGAGACTCAGGTTTGAAACTTATTTGCTATGTAGTATTGAGTAGATTACTAACCTTTAAGCCTCTGTTTCCTTGTGTGAAATTGAGATAAGTTTAATATTTTCTATATATGTTTGCCCTGAGGATTGGGTAGAGATAAGATCGAAGAGCCTTATTACAGTGCTCAACATATAGCTCTTAATACATGTTAGTTTCTATTATTACTACTGCTATTATTAGTTATATTATTTAGTGTCCCTGGGTAGATACCTGCTTATGTTCACTTTTCTGTAGCCATGAAAATAATTTTAGAAATTTCACATAAGGATCTGATATGAATTCGCTAGTCTGGAACTTACTGATATTACAAATATTTATTAAGTAAATATTAGATACACAGCATTTATATTATGGTTGTGACCAAGGAGTGTGTAGTCACGGCCCTTACAATCTAGTGCACAACAGACACTTCTGATAGAGAAGGCAGTTTTCATAGAGTGGTATTTAAAGGTACTGTGTGGAAGCACATTGCAGAGGAATTAGCCCCATATTTGAAAGATGGGGGTTGGCAGTAGTTAGCTTCCCAGTGGAGTAGGCATCCACATTGCAATGTCTTTCTTACTCATTTGAAAGATGGTTATCCATGTAAAAGGGGGTGGAAGGGAGAGAGAGTAGGGAATGTTCCATGTAGAATTAATAGTGTATGCAAAGGAATGGAAACAAAAGTGAGCATAACTTATTTAGATATTGAAGAATTACTATAATGTTGACTCTGAGGAGAGGAATACTGCCCAGAGCCTTGAAAACTATTTAAGTTTTATTTTATCCATGGTATACTGGGGAAACCTGAAGAGTTTTAAAATAGAGGAGTCAATGAATCAGGTATCCATTTTAAAATTGTTACTTACCACGGAGTAGAGAATAATGGCCACAGTCATGTATATTATTTCAAAATCTGCGTGTGTCTGTGATGAGAGTACCTGAAGTCTCTCTTAGCAAATTTTCAGTACTATTGAATATGGTATTATTATACTATAATTATCATGCTATTCATTAGACCTATAGACTTACTCATAACTACAACTTTATACTCTTTTACCAACATCTCCCCATTTCCTCCACTTCTCTGCCCCTGGCATACTCTCTGCTTCTATGTATTTGATTTTTTTAGATTCCATATGTAAGTGAGATCATGCTAATTTTACTTCTTGAAGCAATACCTTCAAGATATATACTATATATCTTGAAGGCAGTATAATATACTTGTTAAAGCCTACCTAGGCTTTTGGGTTAGGTAGGTCTGTTTTTAAATCCTGGCTTTCCCTTTTATTTATGATGACTTTGGGTAAATTACCTAACCATTGGAAACCTTCCCCTGTTAAGTTAGCATAATAATGGCATCTACCTCCTAGAACACTTGTAGATTATTTTAGATAACAGTGCAAAGTATGACACTTAGTAAGTGCTTTATATTGTTAAATCACTTTGATAACCTTAGGTGAGCATATTGTTCTAAATAACCTTTTATAGAAGGCCTCCTAAAAGTGATAGAATTCATCTCTTTAAAAGTATCATTTATCTGTTTTAGAAAGCTGTCACTGGGAAGAAACAGTTCTATTACTTTTTTTCCCCTCCTAAAATCATTTCAGTTTTCTAGATAATAAATATTTTGTTTTATGGTTGCTTCCCTCAGTACATTTGAGAATATTAAGCAGCTCATTCCACTTACTTTTCTAACAATTATTAAATTTTATAAAATAGCCCCTCCCACCTTTACTCTCTATTGCCTTACCTTTTTTCCCCATTGTACTTAATTGGTCCATGAAATTTTATTACATAAATACATCTATCTGTTTTCTGTCTTCCTTGAACATGTAAGCTCCACGAATGTAGGAACTTTATCCTGTTCATCATGTCAAGGAGGAAAAACTTTTTCTTTACTCTCTTAGGTTCAGTATTTGAGGGCCTGCAAATTAAACTGTCAAAAGACACATTAGCAAGAGAAAAACAGATTTTAGTTACATATGTATTTATATATGAGAATTCACAAAGAAATGTGACTCAAAGAGGTGCTTAGAATTTGGGGCTTAATGTCATCCAAGAGGAGGGGTGCAAAAGGCACTTGGGAACTTAGAAGAAGGAGAGAGAGCACTTATAGGAAAAAGAAATGACTTTTTTGGAAAAGTAAATGGACCCTTAGGACAATAGATGAGAGATATGATAGTTTTATGACAATGTCTGTTTGGGTGTGTTGCTGAATGAGTTGCTCCCAGGGAGGGGATTTATGACTGTAGAACACAATTTGTTGTTGACTCATACTCGAAAAGAGTTTTTTTTGTTGTTGTTGTTGTTTTACAACTTGGTATTGTAACGTG